CCGCTAAATATCAAAATGCACCACTAATTTATCCTCCAGTACCAAACTGAGCTCTTAAATATGTAGAGCCTAGTAATATTTTCCTTTTCTTTGGGAAAGACTGATGCATAACAAGGACACTAGGATTTGGGGCTTCCCACCCCACCCCACCCCCCACGCATAGTGGGTAGATACAAATCCTCTCTCTCCTTTTTCTCGCCCCCTCCCAGGCTTTGTTCAGCTCAGAGCTGCTGGTGCCAATGGCTGAGGAAAAGGTGTAAGTGCACCTGGATAAACAAGTGAACAGGAACCGGAACAAGAACGTGAATCACTCTCCGACAGTAGACTGCCCTTCATCTCTTTCCATGGGTCTCAAAAAGTACAGGCAGTACCTGCTGAACAATCCCAGCTGATACTTGTTTGTTCACGGTAGATCCACAGCAGTTCCAGGGGACAGCCAGATCCCTCATAACAGCACAGGGGCTCACAATGGCAAAGGTGTTGAGAGTCTTGGCTCCTACTGACTCCAGCAGCCGTTTTGTCAGAGTGGACACATAAACACCTTTGAAGTTCTGGACTTAGCACTGATTGGAAACCTACATCCTGAGCAATCAACCCAATCCAACTCCCAGGCAATGAAGCAGAATGAAATAAATGTTGGAGCAGCAAAAACAAAGTCGCAGGCTTGGTGTGCACGATTCATCTGACTCAGCCCCAACTCCCATTACTGGCATGGTGACCGGCTGCTGGTGGCCAGGAGGCACTCAGAAAGCGTGCACTTCTTAGCAGGGCTCTGCACCCACTGGACCTTGTGGCAGGGCACACGCTACCTGGCTGCTGTCTTGTGCTGAGATCCTTTCCCAGCCCACAGACCCATTGATCACTTGGCCCAGAGACAGGCAAGAGGCACACAAGGAGTTGAGGCTGGATTTGTGTCCCTGGAGGCAGGCAGTCCTCTGTGCTCAAGCAGCGGAGCTGATGACAAGCTAGATGGAAGCACGCACACCACCAAGACTTCAGGCTGATTCACCGCAACCCCTCAATTTGATGAAGGATAAACAAATGAGTGTGATGTTTGACACCTCCTGCTCTAAGCAGAGAGGGGGAAGTTTAGGCCACAAAGAAATCAATGTGTTTTGTACAAAAGTGGTTTTTTCTGTCTTTAAATTCTCCTGGAAGACAGCCACCTCCCTCCAAATGCTCTCTAGTAGCCAGACACCACAGGTACTACAGTTTAAGTCCAAGAAAGAACATTTTGAAGGACCCAGAAGAGATGTTAACAAAGTGGGCATAGAAATTGCAATGGATATTGAGTCCAAAATGTCACTACGTGCAATTTTTACACAGAGTGTGTGTACACATATGCATATGAGTGAGGTTTTTTTGGTGTGTGAACTCCTCCTGCAAAAATCATAGAATCATAGAGGTTGGAAAAGACCTCTAAGATCATCGAGTCCAACCGTCAACCCAACACCACCATGCCCACTAAACCATGTCCCTAAGTGCCTCATCTACTCGTCTTTTAAATACCTCCAGGGATGGGGACTCCACCACTTCCCTGGGCAGCCTCTTCCAATGTTTCACCACTCTTTCAGTAAAGAAATTTTTCCTTACATCCAATCTAAACCTCCCCTGGCGCAACTTGAGGCCATTTCCTCTCATCCTATCACTTGTTACTTGGGAGAAGAGACCGACACCCACCTCGCTACAACCTCCTTTCAGGTAGTTGTAGAGAGCGATGAGGTCTCCCCTCAGCCTCCTCTTCCCCAGGCTAAACAACCCCAGTTCCCTCAGCCGCTCCTCATAAGACTTGTTCTCCAGACCCCTCACCAGCCTCGTTGCCCTTCTCTGGACACGCTCCAGCACCTCAATGTCCTTCTTGTAGTGAGGGACCCAAAACTGAACGCAGTAGTCGAGGTGCGGCCTCACCAGTGCCGAGTACAGGGGCACGATCACTTCCCTACTCCTGCTGGCCACACTATTTCTGGTACAGGCCAGGATGCCATTGGCCTTCTTGGCCACCTGGGCACACTGCCGGCTCATGTTCAGCCAGCTGTCGACCAACACCCCCAGGTCCTTTTCCAACAGGCAGCTTTCCAGCCACTCTTCCCCAAGCCTGTAGCGCTGCATGGGGCTGTTGTGATCCAAGTGCAGGACCCGGCACTTGGCCTTGTTGAACCTCATACAGTTGGCCTGGGCCCATCGATCCAGCCTGTCCAGGTCCCTCTGCAGAGCCTTCCTACCCTCGAGCAGATCAACACTCCCGCCCAACTTGGTGTCGTCTGCAAACTTACTGAGGGTGCACTCAATCCCCTCATCCAGATCATCGATAAAGATATTAAACAAGACCGGCCCCAGTACTGAGCCCTGGGGAACACAATGGGTGTCTGTGGAACAAAATGTCTGTGGAACAAATGGGCTCATGCATGAACTACCCCTCCTGGGGTCAGTAAGGAGTAGGTAGAACACATGTGTGTGTGTGCGGCCACTACAGCAGCTGCTTTCCCAATAAACCTCTATTCCAGGGACTTTTGCTAAGCACTGCGAAACAGATGATAAGAACATGGTGGCATTGGCAGTGATAACTGGAGTCCCTCCCTCTCTGCAAGAGCCCAAGCTCTGGCTAATGGTGCTCTCTAAGTACCAATACCAGGTGCAGGCCTGACTAGCTCCAGTTCTGCTTTTTTATATCAGCAAGAACAGACATTGCCAGAGGTAAAGGCAAGGGGGAGAGGAGACATTTGCAAAGAAAGCTGCAGTTATCTGCAAAGTTGTTTTTAAAAAGTTTCAGAGAAAGTAGTATTCTGGCAAAAATCCTGTTGTGCAGAGTTGGGCTCTGCATTGCTCATGGCCTGCTGAGGAAATTTAATAAAGAGAAGGAAAAAGCACCTGTTTAAACAAAGGTGCAGAAGGAGGGAGAAAGTGACACCTGGAATGAAGCCAACCTCAGCGCAGCCACTTCTGGCACTGCACAGGTGTGCCGAAACCAGGACAACAGGGCACGGGTAACACCTAACTGCTGTGCTGAATTTATGCACTCATTCTGGTCCTGTTAACCTGCACATGAAGCACGGAGCAGGCTTTCAGCAGCCTGCCTTGCTGGCAGATCTCCTCGGTGCGTTATGGAGAGTGTTCGCTCTTAACCAAAAGAACTTGCAATGCTTGTGTCTTTGCCTCACAGAGGGGACTTGCTGAGACTTCAGGGTTACTCTGGAACTTCAAAGTTGAAATTTAAACACACTTTCCAAATCCCTTCCTTTAAACCACCACAAATCCCAGCCTTGCTGCAGGGTCTGGTCTGGAGAACTTTCAGGGCTGTAGCCAAATCCAGGCCCTCAACCCCCCTCCCCTTCCCAGACCTTCCACTCCTAAGCCTGACTTTGCGCTTAGCTATCACAGTCTCACAGCCAGCTCTAGCGAAGGTCTGTAGAGACCTACCTGTCTATACAGGCACATAGCACTGCCAAGCTGGAAGATCCCAGATCACGAGCTGGAGTTCCTTAAATCATGAGGTTTGATTTTAAAAAGCAGCAATAGATGTTGAATTTTCACATACACTTTGGTTGTTGAATTGCCCTTGCAGCTCCTTGTCATGTGACAAAGACCCTGTTCACTCTCCAGTAACTCTTTAGGGGGGAGGGTTCAACCCTGGGGCACCATCCCTGCCTGACAACTCATGTTTGAATTGTCCTGTGCAAGATCCAGCTTCACAGGAGGTGCAGAAACTAAAATTACTCCCCTCCCTCTTTCTATGCTAGGAGAACAGAAGCTAATCTGTGAGATACACGGCAGGGCAGATTTACTTTACATCCGTGTAAAGTGCACAATCAGCCAAGGCCTTGTTGCTCAGCTACATCTGCGTGCAGTAGATGATGCTCAGTGGGATCAGTCTCCACACAGGGCTAGAAGTCCTCAGCCCGTATTGATGGCTGCACAACGCTGCTGGAGTGGAATCCAGTGCTGGAAGAAATGAATGCCACGTGCATGGTTCAGCTACACTCTCTCAATGAGAGTTTGCTTCTGCTCTCTCCTCCAAGGTAATCCTCTGTCACAGAGTCCAAACACACACCACAGTACCCAGATTTGTGACTTATATTTTATTTTCATTCTTTTTACAAGCAAGAAAATCCCTGGATTAAAACAATCAGAATTAATCAGACATCCCAAAGAATTCACCAGGAAAAGGCTGTCAGGATGAGCAGGATGGCTTGGGCTGGGTTTAGTCCTGAAATCCAATTTGAGATTTGCCCCAGCCCACTGAGATGGGACTTTCCAGGTGACACATGCCCCATCATACCAGAAGCAATAATGCAGCAGCCCTGCTGTCCTAGGGCATCTCGCACTAGTGGGATCCCTGTGGGCTGAAACAGTGGACAGTAAGGGAGCAGACCAAGTCCTTGGAGAAATGAGAGCAGGAGGAGGGAGTAACCCAGAGAGCAAATAATATGACCCAAATTATTAACTCGGGGACGCTAACAGCTAGGGAGCCCAGGCTCTCACTAAGGACTTTAAAGGAAAGTGTTTCTCTGGTTTGATCTAGTGCCCTTGTTTTATCTCAGCCCCAGGAAGAGGTGGGACTCTCCGTACCCAAACAGTGTAAGCTGAAACTAGTACCATGAATTCTGCTTGGAAGTTCTTCCAGAACAGTACAAACCATCTATAAGCACTGTCACTCAGCTGGCAGGCAGTCCCATGCACTATACCAGCCCAGACAGCCCTGCAGAGAGTCCCAGAAAATGCACGTCTAGTCCTCCACAGCATGGCCACATGTTAAACACTTCATGTCCTGCCTACAGGGCAATCCAGCAAAGACTACGTTACAAAGTCCAGAAAACAGAGGGCAGAGACTAAAGTCCCTGGAGGCCTAGGGAATTCCAGATAATAGTCCTAGATTAAGGGAACATGCTGAATCAGAGATACACAGGGTTCTTCTGCAACAGAGAGAGGTAGCTGTGTTGCAGAGGAAACATCACAAGGCTGCTAGGTCTGTACAGGGGCTCAGGAAGGGACTCACACCTACCTCAGATGCAGAAGACATTATAATCAGCCAGGGCCTGCTCCTCTGCAACAGGACAGGAAAGACCTAAGTTATCCTTGCACAGAGCAAAGTGCAAACACCCTGGCACCCCATGGTTCCACACTCACCTGGATGGTAGTAGTCATAGACCCTGACATGGCCTGGCTTCAGGTTGGTCACCCCAATCTCCCGCTCCAGATGCAGGACATATGTCTCAGACTTATGGCTCAGCTGGGGAAGAAAAGCAAATGACATTTCACTTACAAGCTGTTCTTTTTATTCCTCACCTAAATTTGATCCCACTGATAGGCAATAACAACTCTGTGGAGTCAAAGGCAGGACTTCAAGATGAACCTTGAATATCCTGCTCTGCTAGCCTAGCCTTCGATTCCCCACACAACTCTGCCACTGTCCTCCACTCCTGCAGCTTCTCTCGTAGCACACACACACCTTGTCCAAGTAAATGGCAACACCTCCCTGTGTTTTCTCAGTTCTTCTCACAGGGTGCCAATGCTGCAGCTAGGACAGGAGAGCAGAGGAAGCAATTTAGTTGTGCGAGACATCCCAACAAGGTTTATCTACGCTTGAGTGGGCAGTTTCTCATTCACTCACTTCCAAACTTATTTTGGGCTCTTAGCCCTTCAGGCTCATCTCCCTGCAGGGCCACTCAGCTCCTGCAAAACCCAAGGACAGGAACCTAGGCTACTTAGCTGTCAAGGATATGCTGAGCAAATTGGGCCAGAAGGATCACCATCCTCAAGGCACAGAGAGAGCCGACAGTATGTGTTCATGTTTGTTGTGTGACAGAGGGGAAGGGATGGTGAGATTGCTCAAGAGAGAGACAGGCAACACGTTCCTATGCAACCTCCCCCTCTCCTTGGGCATGGATGGTCCCACTGACACCACATCACCATCCTGTTCCAGGCTTCTTACAGACATCCCGGATCCTGGAGCCAGGACAAATCCAGACAGCAGGGACACCTCCACGATCACCATGTTGGAAGTGGATCTCTTCCCAGTATACCTGGGGGAGAAGATCAAAAAGAGAGTCTCTCCCAGCTTCGCCTTCCTTCCACCACCATACCCTGTGTGTAAGACCCTGAGCCAGGCAGTCCAGCCAGGACTGGGGCCAAGGCAGTCACTGCTCCCTCTCACAGGGGGCAGATGATGGCTGCACTCCTCTGAGCATCCCCAGTCTGAGGTGACTACTTGCACTCCTCTCCCTAGCAAGAACCAAAGCCCTCAGAAACATTTCCCCTTCCCCGGGGACACTTATATCTTTCCTTCTCCATCTTCCATCTGGACCTTCTGCTGAAACTGCCTGGTGCCTCCATTGCAGCCAAGAAGCACCCCTCGGCTCTCCAGCCATGCCTGGCTTTCCTTCCCAAGTGGAGCTGTGTCTTTAGAGTCACCTGACATTGACATAGACAGTAACAGAGTGTGTATCATCCTTGGTGCAATTGACTGGCTCGGTTTTCACTTGCAAGGCAAAGGATGTGGAGACCTGTGGGGAGGGCGTGTTGTACCTCAGCACCATCTGCAGCAAGAGACAAAAAGACAGAATAGGACATGGATAATTAGTTCAATATCATCTGTCATACCTTTTTTTCCACTGACTACTCTAATCCTCAAGATACGGACCCCAGACAGTGACTGGATAAACCATACACAATGAGCATGCTCATCCCAGTACCCAAAATAAAGCTCACTCAGATTGGAAACCTTCCATGATCCTTCCAGCTGGGGCTCCTTCTCCTCATCCTTCCCCTTGAGACTGTGCAAGTCAGGCACACAGTAGTGGGACCACTATACAACATTTCCATCTTCCAATACCCTGAGAGCCATGGAAGCATCGTTGTCCTCACATTTGGACATACTCTGAGTCTCCTACAGCACACAGGTTTATTGCATTGGCAACAGGCTGGGATTAAAGCCCAGTTAATGCACATTTCCTTGCATAGAGCTGCAACGGAGACTTTTGTTTTTGATAAGATGATGAGCAGAAGGTTGTCACAGCAGGGTCTGTGGGAACCTACCCGGGTAAAGACACAACAGCTGCCGTGGGCCTGCACCGAGAACTTTCCCGGCACTTCTGTCAGTGCTGCCTCCTGCACCAATAGCCGGTTCTGGTAGGAGATGTGGAACTTCCTCCCAAAGCCTCTCTGGGACCTCACCCTCACTTCTGCAACCCCTTTCGTGCTGTACGTCAGCGCTGCATACTTAGCCAAGGCCTGCAAGGCGACTACTGTGTCCTGAAAAGGAAGAAACAATTACATTTGCAGCTCTGAGACCCAAAGACACTTGAACTTGCTGTCCTGAGGACCTCCATATACAAGGGCTCCTCTCCTCAAAGCATTCACACATACATAAATTGTGCACAGATTGTGCAGAGGTTCTTTCTCAAGCAACATCCCCTTCCCCAGCCACAAGTTACCTGTGTTGAGGCAAACCCTCCATAGGCATTCTGCTGCCTGGTGAGCCAGGCCACGACACAAGAGGCTGTGGTGAGATCAGACCCTGTGACATTTGGCTTGGAGAGCAGGGCCATGAGAACATAGGCCGTCAACTCCACATCCACAGACAGTGGCTGTGACCAAGGGCTGGTGCTGGGTCTGGGCTTGGACGAGGTCTGACTCCAGTGGATCTGCCCACCTGGGAAAGGAAGGGAGTAGATCACATTGAGGGGTGTCAGGAGAGAAATCCTGAGGCCTAGGAGGCACAGTGGCTTGTGTCTGCAAAGACCACTGAGTAAATAACTCTTGGCTGGGTCATCACGTCACTGGGTGAACTGCAATCCCATGTATTTTGCAATACCCAACACTCCATATTACACACCAAGGTGATATACAAAAACTAATATGACAATAATCTGCATACACAGTACCTCCCAGGCATCCAACTTCTCCATTGTCCTGTTTGCCAGGTCCACTAACTACCTGATACTAGCTACTACCCACTACCCAGTCCTGGGGGTCAGGGACTAACAAGAAGTGGGGCAGCTTGCCAGCTTGCTTCCCTCTCTGGCACTTTACAGTCCTGCATAAGAAAGCCCACTTCTCTCAGAGCCCAACCTCCACTTTGGGTACCAGAAAAGGATGAGAGGTTTGAAGGAGATCAGCACCCACACCACAGTATTGCCAGCACATACCTTGAGTTTGTAGACTGGCTGTCTAAAAACTCTCTTTGGTGAAGGACCTAAAGGGTAGGGCTATGGTCCTTCCAGGTTGCATGTAACCAAGGGCTCAGAAAGATCACTTGTCCCTTCTCTGATGTTCACCTGGCACTGAGGTTCCCGTACCTGCTCTGATTGCCTTTCGATCAAGCATATCAAGTAGCTTTTGCGTGCGTTGAGAGTCCTTAGCCAGGGCGAAGGTGTAGGCCAGCAGGGCCTGGGTGTAAGTGCTGGCAGCATTGGGAAGGGAAGGAGCGATGCAGCCCAGAGCCTTGCGCACCACTGTACTCTACAGAGAAGAGTTACATGGGTGTTGGTCACACACAAACACACGTGAGGAAGGCAAACACTGAGGTACATGAGCAGAAGGATGCATTAGCATATGCTGGCACAGAAAGCACCCCATACATTCTCCCAGGTGTCTCTGTGCTTGAGCCTGCACTCTTCTCTTTTTATCAGTGCAGCACCAGTAAGCAGTGTCTCCAGCCCTTGGTGCATGGTGCTTGACAGACCCCCTCGAGCTCGTCAAGGGTTTCAGCAGTGCTCTCTCAGTGAAATGAATGCCTTACTGCTGGAATAACACCACCACATCTTACTTTCCAAGTCTGAACACAACAAGAGCAACAACGCACAATTGCAAATGCTTACACCCAGCCTGCTGACCAAGATTACTGTGTTCAGTTCAGCTCTACAGTGCCTTACAAGGTCATTGGGATTTCCAGTTTCCCTTAGAACACCAGTACTGCTGTTGGCAGGAGGCAGCAAACCCACTGGTCTCAGCAGCATTGTATTCCAGCATTCAGCTACACTATTCCAAACATGAGCCAACGGCTCGCAGTGGTTGCCTGTCCCATATGTGTGCATCTACAGCGCTTCATGGTTTCCCCTCTTCTAGTGGCCTCTTGGTTAAGTACAGTAAGGATCACACAAGGGCTACATTAAGATTTATTCTGACATGTGACATGCTCCTCACCTCTTTGCCTTCTAGCATCTTTGTGCTCTCTAGATGGTGGAGTAGTATTGCTGGATGCAGCCACCAATTTTCAGAAATGCTCATAGTATCTACTCGTGGAGTACCAAAAGTTCCCAGGATCCAACTGATGCTTTTTGGTTGCTCTCTCTTGTTAAAGCCCAGCAGAAGCGGTAAGCTAAGCTCCCATCATTTCAAAAGTCCTACTTTTCTATTTGCCCTTAAATATAATAAATATAATAACTGCAAGCAGCACAGTAGCCTTTGTATTCTGTAACTGAATAGACCTAAGTAGGAATTACATCACATTCATGAATTTGTTCAGCGGCTCCTTTATTATTCCTTTTCCTTCTTAAATCTCTCACTTTCCCAGACAGTTAAAATGGAGGCACTAGTGTTTGTACACTACCAAACTTGAAGTGAAAACACTTGATGTGTTTTCTACCACCTGTGAAGTGCTGCCTGTTATCATACATCTTAATACCTTGTCTAGGAACAGTCTGACATGTATTATAACCCATCTGGCTCTGGTGTCTTCTGATGAAATTAACACAAGAACTAAGAGTGCCACTCTACTGGAAGTGTTTTCACACCTACTGTGCTCATCCTGGTATTGACAATAGCAGTCCTAAGGGCATACTGTACAGAAGCATTTAGCTTCCCTGGGAGCAGTCACATGCCAGCTAAGAAACTGCTCCTCTACAATATGCCATTTGTTTCTGCAGTCAACATAAACAACCTGTTTTGTTCCAAGAGATCAATTTCCAACACAGAGTGGGGGTAGAGGGCTGTTTGTATCTGCCTAGACTTTTTTGTCATACAAACCATGCTTTAATACCAGTTCATTCAGGACAGTGTAAAATGTCTCCAACCTTCTCCCTGCATTTTAACCCCTAACGACTTCCATGAGCCTTTTAGGTATGCTTGTAAGGGAAAGTAGGATCTGTTCTGAACATCTTGAGTGCATTAGCCCTTGCAGGACATCCTCAAACTCTTTCTCAGAATTTTGACCTCCAGTAATTGTGTATTCTTCATAAAAGCATTTATAACCCACTCAGGAACACTTTTCCTGGGTGCTATGGCAAGCTTTGTGTTTCCCACTTCATCTACTCACAGACCTACTCAGCAAATTCCTTCACTGGGGCTAGGATAACTACTGTGAGACTTGTATTTTAACTTATTTGTTGATACTTTTGAGTGTCTTTCATTGTCACGACCATTTTTTTTAGAAACAATGGTTTATGCATGTATGTCCAATTGAATAACTGTCTGGTTACTTTCACATGAACAAATCTGCTTCTGCAACAAAGCATTCCTCACTCCATGGACAATCCTTTCTGAGCTAATAATACTGTTATCATCTTCTCTGGAGTATGAGGAATTCCATGAGGTCTCCTACCTTGTGGTAGCCCAGATTTTCTATCACCACTATCAGAGCGCTAAGTCACCCTCTGTAGATTCATTCAGGATGGAGTGGCTTCCACTAGCTCATCATGCAAATTGCTTTGAGGTCCTGTTTGTCTCCCTTTCAGGATTTTACTCATGGATTTGGAGCAGTCTGGTCTCTTCTCAGTAACTCTTTGCTTTCCTTCCCAAATGACAAACTGGTTCTTAAGACCTACAACAAACTCGTCGTTAATTTTCTACCAGGATGAAGGTCCTTGTCCTTTTGTTTCATTCTGCTGCAGAGCACAGTATGTGTCAAATATTTGTCATCCAGTTTTGTGAAAAGCCTCCTCCACGAAAGTCAGCCAAAACTCAGACAGTTCATAGAATTACCAAGTGATAGAATAATTCAGATTGGGAGGGACCTCAGAAGGTCTCTAATCCAACCTCCTGTTCAAAGCAGGGTTAGCTATGAGATCAGACCAGGTTGCTCAGGGTTTTATCCAGTTAGGTCTTGAAAACCTCCAGTGATGGAGACAACTAAACCTCTCTAGGCAACCTGCTCCAACACTTAATTGTCCTTATGGTGAGAAAAGGTGACCTGAAAGACATCTGTTGCCAGAAAGAAGGTTGGTTAATTCCCGTCTCTCACTTTTTCCCTAAGCCCATTGCTTTCAGTTGCAATGAAAAGCACTGCTCTTTCACTTACTTTTCTTATTTCCAGAGAATTTTGCTTCTCAAAGTCTATAGCAATAGCATTTCTCCATCAAGGTGTCTGTATTTTTTTAACTGCCAGTACTACAGAGTAATTAATGATCTTTAGCACTTGTAAGAATTCCCATTTGTTGTTACTTAGGTGTGCAATTCCAGCTGCCCTACTTCACAACATGTATCTCCCTACAGCACTCCTTTCCCAGAGTTCCACTTTCTAGGAAGCTAAAACACATTAAAAATGTCATTATGGCTATTTACTTGACTGTGGGAGCACCTACACCAACCTCTCCTCCCTAACAACTCACCACTAGCTCTCAGTCGTGTATAGTACAAAGGGTAGCAAGGGCGTGGGAGAATGGGGGGAGGGCAGCAGGAACAAGCAGCCAAAGTCTGGGAAATGGGCACAGTATCTAGCCATGAACTCCAATGGCTCCCTGTAGTCTAACCTCACCTTCTCCCCTGCCAGAGATGTCCTCCTCAAGGGATAGTTGAGGCTTTTTCCTGAGAAGTGGTAAGTTCTTCCTCCCCAGCCCTATTACTTTGTCCACAAGCCTCTCCAAGACGCTCTGTTGCCTGCCTCAGTGACACCACTAAGCTCTTCAGGATTCAGATCTTAAGGCAAGAGCATGGCAAAGAATCCCAATAGTTACCTCTGGCACCTCTCCTGCCTCCAAGTACGCAGCAGTGATGTAGGCAGCCAAGGGGACTTCCCCATCCACACCTCCCTACAAAAAGCATAAACATCTAAAAAGCTGGGAAAGTTAATACACAAAGACCTGAAGCTTTTCAGTAAAGGTCCCACCTATCCCTGGCTTGCCCCCACACAAGAAAGCAGAACAATACAGGAAAGTGAACTAAACAATTACCAGTACACTTGGCAAGAACTGCTTTGAGCTGTCCTTCAAGGTGCTCTGGCTCCTACCTTCATGGCTGTGTGGAAGAGTTGGCCCACATTTCTGAAGCAACCGTTAGGAAGCTGGTGGAACTCCAGCCAGGTGAGAGCGGCTTGGATGGTCCTGTTGTCCAGGAAAATGTATGGCTTGGCTTGGACAAAGCATTTAACCACAAATGCAGTCAGCCTGTTTGGGGAAAGAACAGAAAAAAAGGCATGAGAGAGGGAAGAGAGAAGCAGAAAGAGATGGAGTGAATGAGAGAGAGGGAAGAATGAGTGGAAAGAAAGAATCTAAGCAGAAGTTGAGGAAAAAGAAAAAAAAGTGGGAGTTTGAAACTGGTGGGTCTCTCCTCACCTATTGTTCTGCTATTCCTTATTTGCTGGTCCAAGGACAGTTGCATACCCCTGGGATGCCCTAGCCCAGAAAGCGTCTGGAACACTTTGGGTCCAATAGGACAGAAAGGATTCAATGTTGGAAGCAGAAAGCTGCCCACCTCCAGGCTGTCAGACAGCAGGTAGACAGCAAGGAGAGAGCGCAGGGCTTACCAAGTATTACCATACTCATCCTTGGTACCAAATTCACTGTAGGAACCATCAGGGTGTTGATACTGCAGTTGTATCTGGTACCCTGGGAAGCAGGACAGGACGTTAGTGCTCAGAATGGTATTTGCAGTGAGATCACTGGGCAGGGAATGGGGCGGTGCTCTGGGGGGGAAGGGGAGTAGGCAACCATTGTTAGGTTGGGCACAGGGGAAGGCAGAAGAGCAAGGTGGGTCTGTTGTACTTGCCATTGCGCAGGAATCCTGTTGCCCTCTCCTTGATCTCAGGGGTCAGCTGCCTCGTCTTCTCCAGGTACTGCAGCACATAGACAATGGGGGCAAACAGCACCATGTTCTGCTCCCCACAGCCGTGGGGCATCTGCACCAGACGGTCTAGGTTCTGCAGTGCTGTCCCCATGAGGTCACCTGGAACAGAGCATAGGCACTCTAACCACCTCCTGGGCAGGAGGTTTGGGGATTCACTTGTGACCCGTTCCCAGCAGTGCACCAGGCAAGATAGCCCCAGCACAGCAGTGTGGGGACACCTCTGCCCAGCCAGCTTATCAGTTCCACTGTGCCCTCCATATGGGCTGTATACATTCCTATCCTGGCAGGGGAAGCCCGTAAACAGAACACCCTCTCCCTTGCTGAGTGTTTTAGGTTATCTGGAACGAGGAAACACAGCCACACACATGGGAAGAACAAGGCAGTGGAGCCTTGAAAACCTCAGAAAGGGTGTGGGGCATTCTGGGTTTGGGCTTTCCTAGGGCTAAACTCAGAGATATCAGATTTGGAAAGGTATTATCATAGTTGAATTCCTTACCGGTGACCGACACAGTGGCTCTGACTGAACCTTCAACCACATTTAGAGGCAACATCAGGGATACAGACTCCTGTGCTGGACTCCCTGTCACCAGCAGGGTAAGGTGTAAGGAGGACACAAAGAAAGAGATTCTGATGAAAACAGCCTTCAAAATTCCCAGAGACTGTTTGAGACTGTTCTGCGCTAACATCCCATTTTCCTGTCGCAGAGGTTGCAGATCACCTCAAAAACCCTGTCCCATTCCACCCTCAACTCCCTCCACCAACCTCATTGTGACTGCGCTATCCTAACAGCCTTCCTTCTAAAGAGGTTGAGACGATCTTCTCCTGGAAACCCTCTGTGGTCAAAGCCACCTTCCTGCTTTTCTTTACATAAATTACTCCATCTCGTTTCAGATTTCAGTTGCAGGTATATCTTCTCAATGTGCCTTGTGCTCTCAAAATCTGCTAATGGCCCCGTCACACACCATAAAATTCAAGACAGGAGCAACAATCCTAAGTCATGTCCTCCAGCCTTGCCATGTTCAGTAGTCTGGTTTTATTACCAAAGGTGAAAAAGGCCTCAAGCTATCACATTAGTATCAGGGATGTTGATGCTAAAAGGTTGGACCCACATCCTTAGCCAGGGGAAGCTCTAGCTGGCACCACAATTAGAGTATGCTTCTGTAGCTTGGTCATGTTGACAGAGAAAATATTTCAACAAGTGGAAAGACCCAGGAGGTGGTTAGGCAGGAAGGGGGGGGATGAACAGGGTAAAGAAGAAAACAATCTCTCTACCTTTTTTGGGACACAGGATGGAGCTGCGAGCCTTTTCTACCAACACTCCCTCTGGCTGTTAGAGCACATAAAAGTAGCATTATAATGAGCACACAGGAGAGAAACAGGATTACAAGTGGATTAGAAATAGATATGGATAGATATAGATATGGACAAAAGCCTGGTTCAGGCTGGAGAGTCAGCTGGAGTAACATCATTATCACATAAAAATGTAAATTATTATCAATCATTTTCATTTCAGATAAGAAAACAGCACACATTTTCAGAATATCATAACTTCTGAATGTCTGTGAAACTGATGCTGTAAGATTCAGCAGAGAGCTCAGGAGCAAGGACATAAAACAGTTTTCCATGGTATGAAGTGGAGGATACCCCTCTACCTCCCACATCCATCAGCCCTCATGGTTGGGCCCAGCTCAGGCCCTGAGATTCTAATTACACACCTTTAATAGCAAGGGGTAACTCCCAAAATCACCCTGCACAAAATGTGGGAATTGCACAAAGCCCACTTTTAGGTCTAGGTAATAGAAGAGCTTGTCTGACCCGGACTAGAAGGAGTTTGGTGATCGTGTCTTTCTGTCCTTGGTTTGGGACAAATGGTAGCTCTTCACCACAGAGCTCCTTGGTGGCCACAGCCTCTGTGCTGAGGGTGATGTTCATGAGCCCTGAAAATAACACACATAAAACATCATCTGAGGAAGCACTTCCCATTAATACAATAGAAGTCACCTGTTGAAAACAAAAAATTGGATCAGAGCCCTATATGATTCTGTACCTCCTAGCACACACTTGCGAGTAATTCACCTTAGGATGAATGCAAACAAGTACTCTCTGGTTAACAGGGCAAACAACTCCTCACTCCATGTCAGCTCTTACAAAACATCCCCACCTTGGTCCCATCTCTTCCCAGTTCCACCACCCCACCTCCCTGTTCTTCTCACCCAGTTGCTCAGCTGTGACACTCCACTGAAAGGTCTTAGCTTCATTGGCACATAAGCAGCTGCTGTAGACACAGCCTTTGCATGGCTTCAGCTGGAAGTGGGCAAACTCCTCCAGGGTCACTTGGATCTGAAGGGGCAGCAGGGATGGCAAGTGGTAGCAAGATAAACATCACAGGCCATAGATTTCAGCCATCTCCTACCTACCCATACCCTGCTTTTCTTGCATAGCCTATCAGGACTCGCCTACCTTCATGCACCGCTGCAGGTAGTTGAGGACTGTGGCCTTCAAGATGAAGGTCTCACCCTGGATCACAGAAGATGGCAGTGTGAGCTCCACAAGAAAGGGCTTGAAAACAAGCAGACTGGAGGTTGGAGAAAGTCCAAAGCCATTACGTCCTGTGCAGAACATCGCTGCTTTCCATTGTGTGATGGTGTTAGGCACAGTGACAGTGACATTCTTGTTCCCACTGGGACTGAGAAGTAGACAGCAACAGAAGCATTTAACTGAATCTTGCTGTACACAGCACCAGGTGACCTGGTCTGCGCCATTCTCTCCAGTGCACCCCATCCCCTAACCTCAGCCTAACCCCTAACCTCTGCTGAACTTGTAGCCCTTGTAGGGTTACAAGTAGGTCCTTGTAGAAGTAGGGACCCCTGCCTCAGATGCTTATATCAACAGAACATTTTTGACAATAGGTTACATGGCTGCAAGATGCCATCAATCACACTCAGTGCTTTTATCAGATAGGGCCAGTGCTTGCCCTTTGCATATCTAAAAATGCTTTACAGATGTCAGCAGTTTTATTCTTCTTGGCCTAGGGATGGAGAACCAGACACCAGAAGAGCAACAAGACTGGCTCAGCTTCAGTAGAACTTAGCAGAAGAGACAGATCCAGCCATTCACCTTTCTGTGAGACACTGACAGCTTAAAGTCCAACACGAAGACAGGGCAGAGACTTGGCTTGTGCCCACATCACAACTGAGAGCAGCAGATTGTTCTGTGGCTGCTACCACAGCAGACATAAAAACAGCCCTAGCTAAAGCTAATGATATTATTTGACTCCAATAACTGGAGACATTCACTTTTGCCAGGCACGTACAGGAAGGCAACACATACAACATAGAGATCTTTGGTTGCTCAGATCAGGCTGGCGGATAAATCACATAGGAGATATCTGCTGGTAGCGAGTGAAGAGATGGATGTAGCTGGAAGGACAGTGGAAGTGGGAGAGGGCAGATATGGGGGCATCTGGCCTGAGCAGACTCCAGTCTCCAGACACCAGACAAGAAATTCTTAGTCAGAGATGAAAAATCTCCAAAAGCTCCCCCAGCAGACCCCCGTGTATTCACTGAGCCTCTCTCACAGGACACAACTCCCAGTCCTGTGAAGGACTTCTGTGGAGATCAGCTTTCCCTGCATCCCAGGATACATCCTGTGAGCACAGTTTGGGAAATGCCAGCCCACAGGGCTACCACAAGCAGAGTGCAGGCCGTAAACCAAGCTGTTTTGCTGCACTGCACTTGCTTTGCTATCTTCCCATGCCAGCCACCTCCCATGGATGGACAGTACTTCTGTATGATCATCTAGTACCGGAAAATGCATTCAGTGCAGACATCAGCTCCGATGAGAAACGGCCTGACAGGTATGAGCCCCATGACATATGTCCTTAGACATCTTCCTCACCAGCTTATGATCTAAACCCAGTTGTATCTGCTGCCGTTCCCAGTCACACTAAGCCACCCAGACTAGACCACCATTGCTCAGTTTACTCACCCCACAGAATACAAATCCCATATCCAGGTTTCGGGGAAATGCTTGTGTACTTTTTCTTCAGCTGAAGAAACAGGTGAAAACATAGTGGGCTGATAGGTAGATGTTGTCAGAGGTTCTGCTGGAAATAACAAAGACCCAGTCACCGCAGGGTCCTCATGCCCTGGTTTAGAGCAAAGGGGCTCCAGCACAGCTCAGGCTGCAGGTCATCCAGTCAGCTCTTGGGAAGCACAGCACTGGAACAGAAGGTGCTATCCCAAATTTTAAAATCTCTTGCCTCATTTCAAACAACAGAGGTGCTGTGGGCCTTACTTGCATTTGTAGGCACCAAGGGAAGGGTAACCATTCCCTCACCTCAGAGATAAGACCTGGGATCCAGACAGCTCACTAACATTTCAGAGCCAGAAGCCGTGAGCCCCAGGCAGCCTCACACTAGCACAACAGGTTTAGAGCCAGGGAACACTCTTGCTCCTCCATTTGCAATTACAGCAAGTACTGCCTCTTAGCTCAAACCCAGGATTGTTTTCACCTGAAAGACTGAGCATCCCATGTAAGAAGAAACAGTTGGCAAATGCTTACTGTTATATGCTTTATGGGGCTGGGCAAACATCAACATGTGCCTGGAAGTAAACATTGCTGTTTCCTGCAGCATAGTTGTTGATGGAGTGGTTGGACACACTCTGGGTTTCCTGATATTGGTGTTGGACATAATTTTCAACCCCATTTCCTGTAGGAAAAAAAAGAACTGATGCACCAGAAGCTTGTCCTCTCCTCTCTGCTTTCTACCCTGTGCCTTTTTGTCCCCTCACACAGTGGGGACTTGGCTGTCCTCTGGCTTGGCAAAGTATTCTTTTGCTTCGTTTTAAGAGGGAATTATTCAGTCTCTCAACAATGGGCAAACAAGGTCTTCTGAGCTAATTCATCTGGCCTGAGTCAGCCAAATTTATGTTTTTTCAAACACATGGTCATTTAGGTACTATGCCTTCTCAGCCTGCAGAGTGCAATTGTTCATGCTCTGGAGATTAAACATACTATGTGAAATCCAATTAAAGTAACCAATCATCCTTGGCATCCTGAATCACACAACCAGAGTGCAGTAACCACAAAACAATTTCTTCTTGGTCAACAATTTCAAGTTACTTATTCAAGTAACAAGTGAGTTACAAGGGCCTAAACTGGACCTGTTCCCCATACTGTCTGTAACGGCATTCTTAGGATACTGGTAAAGTCAGGGGGCCACACTTCTCTCAATTCATGAATTATCCCAACCCACCAAATCAACCATTTTTACCCTGAATGCTGTAAACACATCAGGCTCATCAGAATTTGGGAACCCACATGAATGATCATCTTCAGACACTTGGTGAGGATACCTGGAGTTATAAACAGATGGGAACAGCCCATAGATCTGGGAAAGCAAGAAAAAGGAAAAAAAAATCAGCACAAATAAAACCTGGCATTCCCTTCCTGTCATACATCCAAGGCCTGTTTGAATTGCTCCTGGCTACTGTGCATGAATGCATGCCAGAAAGCCCAGGCTCACTGTCACTCTTCCCCAGCTCTCCTCTGATAGAGCCAGCACAACCTGCTGAACTGAACATGAGACAGAACAACAGAAGCTCATTTACCACCGGTGCACTGAGTGATGTTCAAACTCTGTCTTAACGCATGCCCCTAATCCTTACCCATGCCACACTGAGAGAGCTGCTGATCCTTCTGGGCAGTGCCTCGAGTTCCTTGGGAGCTAAGCTCTGCACAGATGCAATGGCCTGTCTCTCTCCCTCCCTCTTCATGTCAGTACGAGGGAAGGGAAGAAGTTGGAGCAGGCTCACTCACCAAGGAGCTGCTGAGCTCTTTTCCTGGCTTCAGCAAAAGGACACTCTGATCCACAGCCCAGACAGCACACGTGGACCCAGGAGCTGCCAGCAGGTGGAGACCAACCTCTGAATCAGGAAGGGTCTCCGGCGTTGAGAAGCCCAGCTCCACCTGGATGGGAAGAATGCAGGCAATAGGTGAGTGACATTTCTGCTGCTGGCCACCCTACCACTTCCTGAGCCGGGAAGGGACCTACATGAAGAGAGTTTCCAAGGACTTGCCTTGGATGGAAACCCAAGGAATCTCCCAAGGACCCCCAGAAAGTATTTAGAAAAACATCACATTGAGGTTCTAACAGGAAAGATGGCAGAGGGGGAACCATCAGTGTGCACAGCTTGCAGTACTGGAGACATTCCTGTGTCAGAACGCGGCGTTCTCTTTACCCAGCAAACCAGCCAGCCATGGTCACACACCTCACACAGCTATCTTTCTGCTCCTTTTGGAGCCCCAGATCAAAAATAAGCCTAGTCCTTCTCTCCAGGCTCTTTGTGGGGTTGGTCTCAGTTTCCTGAAGCACTTCCTGTTCTTGCTTGAATCTGACTGTCCATGGCAGACAAACAGCTGTGGAGCGGAGGTAATGCCAGTCCTCAGAAGTTCATCTTTGGAGTGCCAGACACAGCCAAGAAAGCAGATTCCCATGGATGTCACAATGACCACAAGCACTCAGCCCTTTCTGGATGGCCAGTAAAATCCACTTCTTCCATCAGCCACTTTCAGATGTCTTCCCAACACCACATACTAACAAGTCTAAGTGTCTGCTGCAGCAGCAGAGCAGCCTTGAGGTCTCCTGGGAATCACACTAATAACCTGTGCTGGGCTGTGATCCTACTGGGTTGCAGTTGCTATACAAGCCTATGGAGGCAGACACAGCAATTCTCTGCCTTTCCCAAACACTGCAGCAGCCCCCGCAATGCTCAGCACGTACTTGCTCCATACATCACAGCACACTTCATCATTGACATACTGCAGTTCACGTGACAGCATCCCACACAGTATCAGCCACACAGAGCTACACATATTATGTATTCCTCAGTCTCTTCTTTCATTGCAGCAGACACATACACTCTCACACAATTAGTCATGGCCTCAGACACAAATCCTACCTTATTTCTGAAACACATGGAGACACTGAAGATGGCAGAATCAGCGATGATTTTTCCATTAGGGAAGATAACATAAACAACAAGTCTTGGAGCTGGGGCATAGATCAAGCTGAAGGTAAGAGGGATGGAGAAGCCGCCTTTCAGCACTAGATGGAGGAGAAAGGGGAAAAAGAGACAGTAGATTTGGTAGTGAAAATGGACTCTGATCAACTTTTGCTATTCTGCATGTGCCTGTTTAATTCCTTTCCTTAAGTCTTTCAGGACCAAGGAGATTTCTGGATACCACTGAAACAATCAGCACATCTCTGGATCTGGTATTCAAGACCAACAAAAGACTCCTCCTGGTTCTGTGCATTCCCTCAAGGAGATGAAACAGCTCTTTGGAGTTCAAGCTTAGCTCCACAAAGAGTGAGAGTCTCACATATCTATCAAAGCCTCCCATCACCAAACATCTCCCATCCCATCACCAACAAAGAAGTGACCTTTGACCCAAAGCACCTATAATTTAGGCTTTAAAAAAAGAGCTGGAGAAGTACACAACAGTGAGTCAACACCCATCAAAATGATAAGCTGTGGCATCCTAACTACTCAAAGATTATTTTTAGACACAACTGCAAATTAAAGCAGGAGAGTTTTGATAGAGGGTAAGGCTATAGTTTCATGCCGCTTGCAGGGGCAGCAAAAGGAGATTTCTTTGAAAATGAAGAAAACAGAGGATGAGCATATGGGCTGGGAAATGCTGAGTATTGTTCTCTTGGTTCCAAGCAGGAAGGTAAAGGAAACATGAAAGCTGGAAAGGCACGCTGCTCTGATGCAACAGAAAAGTGGTGAGCCAGCTCTAAATTGCAAAAAGGCTTATGGCACATATCCAAGTAAGATGGGATGCCACAGACCACTGAGTGCTTGCAAGATATGAAACAGGGGAGTGCACTTACTTCTTGACAGCCCAACCCAAACAGTCTTCTGACCTGCATGGACTATTCCTCTTTTCCCTGTGACCTAGGGAAGAATACAGAAAGGGAAAGGAATGCCAGTTACATAGTCTTTGAGACCACTGTGCAGATCAAAGTAATCCTGAAATTGGAGATTAAATGGGGGCAGAGGGAGGGATATGAGCTTTACTTGCTCTCAAGTAGCAGGGAGAACTCAGGGGATCAAGGGACTTGGGGGAGGACAGGTAAGGCAATACCTGCCCTGCACCTCTGCAGGGCCTAAAAGAAAGGTGCTGCCTTTCTTGCTATTACTGCAGTCCCAGGATGGAAACCAGGATCCAGCCCCATGATGGCTGGATGAGCTACCTGTCCTGGGCTGAGCAAAATCTATCAAATATCAAGTTTGAATGTGTAGGAGATGCTGATCTTGTGCCTTGAGCCATCACCCACTAGCACTTCCCCAGAAACTCACAAAGTAGGAGAAAATGACACGCTTGGGCCCGTGTTCCAGGTCCTCCTGGTAAATTCTGAAGGCCACCTGGACAGCCTGCTTTTTACCGCAGGGCATTGTTTCCGGCACACGGACAATAGAGAGAAAACTCCTGCTGGTGCTGTAGAATGGACGTATGAAATGAGAGGCTCGCTGGTAACTCAAACCAACTGTCCCAGGCTCTTTATCCAAATCTTGATGCAGGACAATTGCCTGGTGAGACAAAAAAAACCTCCGCAGTTAATTTCTCTAGTTAAGCAAGTCAGCTGCAAATCACCCTAGCTGTGGCTTGGTAAGAAGCTCAGATCGGGTCTGAGCAACACCATAGCACAGGTCTCTGTGTGGAGAGTTCACGAGGAAAGCAACTGGGATCTGGAGAATAAACTCTCAGAGGGAGCCAAGATTCAGAGCATGATGAGGTGTTTCAGGTTTGAATTACTGCCCTTCAAGACACTACATCTCCCCCATCAAGGGGGAGATATCTGTGGGGCAGTAAATAGCTCTGAGATGCATGTGTACCCCTGCCAACAAGACAGACCCTTCCTTACTTACCTCCAGGGAGATCGAGCTGCTGTTCCAAGCAGTCGTGTTCAGGCTAAATGAAGCTCTCCCAGAGTCCCCAGTGATGTACTTCCGCTTAAATTGCTGCTCACAGCAGCTTACTACAAGGAGGACTTTTCTGTGCTTCAGTGCCTTGCCTTGGTAGTCGATGACTTTAATCTGAGAACATCATGGTGAGCAAGAGAAGTGCAGAAGAGTCTAATCAGCAGACAGAATCTCCTGCTTCTCCAATTCAGGAGCAGCATTTCCAAAGACAGCAAAGTCACCCTTCCACTCACTAACAATATTATCAACACTCCTATTATCACTTGCACTACCGTATTCATTCACCCCCATGCTCTCTACCCCTTCACAGCAGGCGGCCTCCCAGATCCTGAAATTCCAAATGTTTGGGTTTGCACCCCACATATGGATCCCCATAGCTGCTACTACTCAACGCTTATTTGGCAAATGGCAGTCTTGGGTGTTTTTCTCACTTTTGACAATTCGAGAATTTTGTCTCTGGGAGTCATTCATGCCCTCCCAAGCCCCTGGCTGGAGGTGAGGTTGGACAAGATGCTAGGTAACAGCCACTTTGAAGGCATTGCTCATGCTCTCCCCTCCAAAGGACTGTAACTGGGAATTACCTTCCCCCTGTACATCTCTCCAGTGTGGTAGTAAGAATTCACATCATCAAACAAGGCCATCCCGCCAATCTTGGAGATGAGTAATTTGTGGGAAGCATTGATGTGTATCTCTGAATGAAAGCAGCGAGACAGAAACATAAGGGAGGGAGCAAGGAAGCCAAGCACCCCTCAGCAATTTCCCTGCAGAGTGACCCACTGGTAATACTGATGCACATGTTCAGCTGCACACACATTTCATACCAGGGAGACGATCTGCCCAGGGCTCTGGGTATCCAGTCTTTCTCCCACTTACTTTTAGCCCTTAAAGAGGTCCCTAAGCTTCACCACCTGAGACCGGAGGCACTCAGACTGTGTGTGTCATGCCGTCAGGAGCTGGTGGCTCTGTCTGTATCTGTGAGGTTAGGTGGCAGGCCCTGACGGGCTCAGAAAGCTCAGAGCCCTTGCTAGTCTGAAAGTCTCCAGTGTTCTTGGTAAGATTAGTGCATCTTCACATGCCTCTTCCCAGCCACCAGAGATGTTTCCAGTTACCTGTGCCATCCTCCACCAGCAAGGCCTCTGCAACTATGCTGTCCTGATAGTACCGAAAGTCTCGACTGAAGAAGGACAAACTCACATTTGTGAAGAAGCAACCTGTCTCATCTGTCTGAAAGTACAGAGAGAGGAAACAAGGTCTGAGCAAAGCACTTACGTTAGAAGTTACCCAAATGGCACAGAAACAACAGCGCAAAAGCCCTGCTCTCAGGGAGCTTGCCTTTTGACATAGCAGTCCAGGATGTGGAGCAGGCACATGAGGCACACCCAGTCATAGTCACCAGGCACAGTCACTAAGAGGCAGCACCAGTAGACCACTGGCCAAGCAGCCAAAACCACAGGGTAACATCACTATTATTTCAGCTAAAGCCTCCAGCAGCCTTGCCTTACCCTGAAGCTGAGCACAAATGTCTCTGAATATGGCTCAGCTCCTGCTAAGCATCTCACCTGGTTGTTGAATTCCTGACAGAGATCAGGTTTCGAAGCATTGGGCAGGAATGGGGCTATCTTCTGACAAAGGCTCATGTGAACCATCCCTCGGACGCCTTTCCCATAGGTGTATCTGTTTTGGGGGAGCAGGGAAAGGAAGAGACAGTCATATACAGTGAGAGAACACAGAGCTTGCTTTGCATAGCCCCAGAGACCACTTATTCACAGATATTCACAATATAGCACAAGAGCGGCAGCCGTACAGCAGGCCCAGGAGCCCTGACCCCGTAAGCAGGGTCAGGCTAGGGCACTGCAGTGATGGGAGATCAAGGGCTCTGTGATATAATTAGTGCCAAACTAATCTATTCTGGGAAACCAGAGTGTTGTAAGTGCTGACTCAGCACAGAGCTCTGCACTTTACATTAGTATCACCTGCAATAACCCCAGGATATGCTGAAGGCATGCATCATCTTATGAGCACAGGCGTGGGTGATTAAGAAAGTGCCTTTCATTAAGAAAACACCTTTACATGAGGCTGTTAACCCTAGCATTGTCCTTGGACTGTACCTGGGGCAATTCCTTTTTGCCTCTCTCTAGTTTCCACTGGAGCATAATCTGGAAAAGCTTCCCTTCATTTCCCATGAGTTTGTTCTGCAGGGAGATGAACACCAAACATCTGCCATGTTCTGCCCCACAAATGGCTGTTTGTCAAATTGTAGGTTGTTCCCCCACGTTTTGTGCGTAGAGACTTGTGGAGTGTTTTTAGAAAAGGGGCATTAGAGTACCAGAAGGATAGTTATAGGAATGTTTTGTGTTGCATCAAGGTGCAAACAGCTGCCATGGAAAATTCTGGCCTCCTGTAACTGAAGTGTAGTAAATTTCCCTTGAGCTCCTCACGGTTACCTAGCCATCTTGTGCTCATCAGGCTGGAAGTTAACACAGGACCATCCCTCCAAGCAGAGTCCTCACCTGCCACATACCCGGAGCGGGAAGGTTTTATCTAGTGCATAAATCTGATTTGGCGCTTCAAAGATCACTTCAAATTTTGGCAGCACTGGAAGGGAAAAACGGAGAACTGTAAGAAACACTGGCCAGGGACAGCCTTTCCAGAGAATCAACATGAAGATAGACTATGGTGGAATAAGAGCCAGGAAATGGAGAAGGAAGGTGATGAGAAGGGGAAAGGGAAGATTTCCATTGTTTCTTTAACAGATTTGTGTGTAGTCCATGGTTGATTGCTTCTTCCCAAACTAAAACACAAACATGTACATGTCCCTGCACTTCTGACAGCTATTTGCACTGAGAGAAGACTAGCCTCCCAACACAGTTAATTAGGGGATGAAAGATAAGTGGCATGGCACTGGACTTCATACTCTCTGGAAAAGTCCATCCTAAATGACCTTGTTTTGTCTGATGCAGAGACCTGCAGGAATCAGCTGTGTCAAAGGTCTGGGGCCATGCACAACCTTCCTCCCACACACTGACCCAAGGTCCCAAAGTGGCCTCTCTCCTAAGCCTCAGCTCAGACTCTTTTCTATGACAGATACTATTACTTTTCCCATTTGCTCCCAGGATGGTTATCATAGAATAACCACACAGCTTCCTGGATCAAGAGTGCAAGGTCCTCTCTGCAGCTCAGCCATATACCACACATGCTCATACCATACTCCTCAACGGAGAAGCTGCCGTACGCTTTCGCATTGGTTATATTGATGACATATGTCCCCAGCAGAGGCTCGTCACTTAGCCGGAAAGACAGATCTGCAATGCCGTCTTGCGGGACCACATTCAGCCACTGCTCTATCCGGTTGTTCTTAGGGTCCTACACCCACAAGAAAGGAAGAAACAGTTGTTCCAGCATCTCGCTGATCCACACCCCATAGAAATTGAGCTTCAGGATTTCAGTGCTGCAGACTACCAGGTTCTATAGCTAAGGAATGAGGTTTGGTATAGGCTAGTCAAGAAATTTTGGAGAATATAATGCTCAGATTCTGCTCCCAGCATCTGAGTCTCCTTCTACACTTATCTAAATTCTGATCTCAAGGAAAGATCCTTCACAGTTCTAACTTTTTTCATAAAGGTCTAAGTTGATCTATCTATACTCTTGTAAGTCTAGAACAACTCAGATTTCTACTGAAGTAACTGGGAGCATAACCTCAAGTAAGTGCATAAAAAAGAAGCTGTAAGGAGTATGCTAGTTTAAGAAATCTTGAAGTTCTACTATTCCACTCAGAGGTCTGTAAAATCTACCAGGAACAGAATATGAATAGCCCAGTGAAATGGCTGCCATCAACAGTACTGTAGCACTAGATTTCAGCATCACTCACCTGGAGAAACAGGGAAATCTGGGGGGGGAAAAAGGCAAAAACATTAGAAGACAAACACATGCCAGCAACACACACAAGGTACTCCAGATGCAGAGCCCTCTCTGAAGGATGTGCAACTAGCGATTTGGAAATTTAGAGCATTGACAACAATATAAAGTAAAACAAACGTCACCAAAAAGAAGAAATACCGGGTGGGTCCATTACACAGTAAGGTGTGGAGAAAGGGAAAGGAAAAGCCAATCTGGAGGTCACCCGGCACTTGCTAATGACTTCCTGGCAGAGCCCTCCATTAGGAAAACTCACTACCCAAACACACCTAGCTCTGGCTCAGCTGCAGTCTTAAGGGGGTTACAAAGGTATAGGATCACACAGTTTGGAAGGAACCTCTGGAGGCTATCTAGTCCAACACCCTGCTGAAGCATGTCTTCTTAGAGAAGATTGCTCATAGCCATCTCCAGCTGAGTTTTGAACATCTCCAAGGATGGAGATGCCTTCTCTGGGCGCCTGTTTCAATATCTGATCATTGTCGCAATGAAAATGTTGGTCCTAATACCTAATCAGAATTTCCCATGTTCCAACTTGTAGGAGCCAGATTAAGAGCATCCCTCCCCACCACACATCCAGGAAAACCTGACTTGCAAAGTATTCACTCCCCACATGACACCATCACATCAGGAATCAGTATGTCTCATGGTTGTGCTTGCCTGACCATTTTGCCAAGACGAGCAAGAGACATGTACACCTCTGCCATCTTCCCGAGTTACCAGCTTTTATTTTAGTTATTATTCTCCTCTGGACACTCATCAAGCCTGGCCCAGGGACAAATGTGGACAAGTTGGAGCTTTGGCAGATGAGCAGGCTAGAAAGGAAGTAGGATCCACGGATGTAACAAGGCAGCCTTTTCCACAGCCCCCCAGGGCTGGCTTACCGAATCGTTGAGTACAATGAATTCCTCATCCAGAGTCACGATGCGAAATTTCACTGAAGGCAAGGAAATCAGGGAATGTATTTATCAGATCTCAGTGCTTCCCTACAGACCCCTGCTCTACCTGTTTCCCCAGCTCCTGTCTCCATTCTATATACCTTTGTGATAACATCTGATACAGATATTCCCACATGTAAGATACCATGGACAATGACCTACTGCCTCCTGCAACTTCACAGTCACCACAAGCTGGACATTACAGCCACTGAAAACACTACATCAACAAGAGACATTGTCTCAAAGCCTTCTGCTAGGGCTGTCCATGAATTTCAGGCAATCACAGGCTTTCCATATGGTGTTACCAGCAGGTGTTACCAGCCTAGGGTCCACAGTTGCTCCCATTTGCAGCTCTCACCTGTCTGCCCTGGTTGATAGATGGGCTTGTCTGTTTGGATGAAGGTGCCAGTGCTGGCCTTGCGGATCAGGACCTTTTTCTTCTCTTCAATACTGACCCCTTCACCTGTGATGATCAGTTTGACAGTGGCAATCTCCTCTGTGCCATCAGCTGGAGGTGCGACCTGTACAGAGGAGAGCACACAGCCCCCAGGTAATCTTCTGGGGGCCCTGAGTGGGAATTGAGAGTAAAATGGAAGAACTAACCAGTTCCCCTCCACCTGCCCCAGGACATCCCCTCCAATATCTGGATCCAGATCACATCCAGATCTCACTCAGTCCTACATGACAGCAGGAGGCCCTGCACGTCATGGAATCTGTCCTTTTTCCCACTGGTTAAGGAATTTTTCCTCTGGTGACAAGCAGGTGCCTGACAACTCTGAGGCTTCAGACTTGGTCAGGAAGATGGGCAGATGCCAGAAAGGTGGGAGATGGTAGCAGAGAATCAAAGGAGAGAGAGAGAGCTGTAGCACAGCCTCAAATGCTAGGCCTTCAGAACTATCCAGCATGTGCAAGAAATCCAGATTAGAAAAGACAACCAGAGGGTCTTCCTGACTCCAGCAGCCAAAGACTCCAGCAACATCAGCACAGAATATACTGTATAATAGAAGGGATACTGTTTAGGCATGTCTGCCTTATCCTAGATCTTTGCTAAATTCTCACCAACAATGAATCAGCTCTAAGATACTGTTTAAAAATAACAAGCACATCCATTTCCATCCAACTGCTCTTCAGTAGCTCCTAAGAGCTGAGTTTCTGCCTGACTTCAGGTCCTACAGAAACTGCAGTACATCATGCAAACCACCGTTTCCCCAACCTTTAGCTGTGGAGCTGCACAAGTCCTTCAGAGAAGAGCTAAAGCTGCTTCAACTGGTCTGGGATGGAAGAGAAGGAAACAGGTGGGTGGTTCTTATGTATCCAGAAGTGTGGTAGATTTTAACAAATGTAACTTCAATTTAAAAATTAAGATTCAGAAGGGGAGTTCAGTGCTGGCCAACAGATACTGTGCTGGGCTACACATCCCTAGGCACCATCCACTCCCCTTCCTAGCAGGCTCACTCCAAGGCAAAGTAGACCCTGTCCATGTCATCCCTGGTTAGGGAGTAACACAAGGGATTTACAGTTCCTGAAGTGAAAATCAGTGATGGCATTTGCCTAGGGTGGCTCACCCAGAACTTAGTGCACATGAAAGTCTTCTCCTTCTGGATGGTTTCTTGCACTAAGAGTTCATGTCCTGCAGAGCGCTCCAGGACCAGATTCACTCGAAGCTTTCCTTCATAACAGGTGATATGGAGGCAGGCAACTTGGGTGGATGGGTAGCGGAGATCTGCAGGGATCACCACCAGGTAATGTCTGGGGAGGGGAAAAAAAGACATCAGAGGTGGCATCAGGTTGAAGACTCAGAGATGTAAAAGAGCTTCCCTGCAGTGGCCCACTACTGCAGAATTCCTCAGCAATGTGCCATGGTTGCAGTCAATATTCAAAAGCAACAGTGAACCCCACAAAGTGATTGCTTCACTGATAACTTGAGAAATAGTTTCTGCTTGATTAGCTTAAGTACAGCCCTATAATATTTTTCAAACCCCTTACTCCAGTCATCTCCTGAACTCCCCAAAACCATCCCTTGCAGTATTCAGAAGAAGTGGCCTCATAACCTTGCAGTCTAGACACCAGTGACTTGATCTGGCATGGCAACTGGAGAAGCAAACATCCCTGGGCCTAAGGTCTGACTTGGAAGCCCCCCCGAAAGGTGGCTTATATTTTAATTCATGGGAGTCAATCTAATGCATGGCAGGCAAGGTAAATGACGCAGCTACCCTTTGGGGTGATCTGATAGAGCAGGAAGCACGAGAGCTGACAGCATGGAATGTGGTCCATCTACCTAGACTGATGTCTTCATGAAAGAGACCGAAACAGAAGTTCAGCATCACTCACACTTGGTGAAAAGCAGCTGCCATGTGGAACAGAAGGCTCAGGAGGATGGCTATCCTCATCCTGGGGGCTCTTGCTGCCCAATCTCCAATGGCCCTCTTCCTCTGAAATCAGTGAGGCTGTTTTTAGGGGGGTAATTTCTTTCTAGCACAGCCTAAATGAAGAGGTGGGATGGGGGGAGGAGCCAGCCTCTCTCCACCTCTTCCTCTCTCCTGAGATTATACGCAGGCAGCAGTAGGGATGGCTGTACGGTGCCAAGTGCCCCTTAGCCAATAGCAGCCGCTTTGGCTGCCATCCACCAGTTCAGAACATCCCCTCCTGCAAGGCTGCCATGGAGACATCTGACCAAATGGACTTTTCATGGAAAAAAAAAAAAAAACCAGCGAGAACTTTGCTGATCAGTGACCCAGGCCAGGTCCTGATCACTTGTCACTTGCGTCCCTTTGTTTCAGCTGGAGATGGATTGCTGCTGTGCAGCCAGCAGCAAGAGCTCACCCCAGCACACAGCAGGCAGCGTTGTCATTCGGGACAGAGGCTCAGTAGCCCTGGACCAGATTATGGGGATGTGGATCTCCTTAGGCTGTTTGGCTTGAGAATGGAAGCAAATCCTTGCATGTGCATAAGGAAGCACTGTAGCAATGCTACCACCAGCCAGCAACCACCAATGAGTTAATGACTTTGCCTTTTCCTTCCCTGAACACAATAAGGGAAATGGAAATATATACTGGCCAACAGAGGTCTCCACCAGCTCCCTGCAACACCCATTAGCAATGGTATCATCTGCAAGGAGGCCGCCTCAGGAATGGGTTCCAGTTCCTCACTGGTCATGTCTGGGTCTGAAAGGTCTAGGGTACAGGGATACAGCCTTTTGGTTCTGTTTTTGAACATGAGGGTCGAGTTAAAACTCACAAATTAAACATGTGGGACATTTTCTAGCACTGACAACAACCTGTACAAAAGGATAGACAATTGTGCTGTTTAACCAGCCTGACCTCCAGAAAAGCGTGGTCACTGTGTAAACTGCCTGTTGTGAGTGGTACACAGACTGCATTAACTCACAAACTACATCTGAGACTTGTATGAGACAGCATTAGTTAGCCCAGGCTGAAACGTACCAGGGACTGTCCCAGTAATACAAACAGCTACGGTTCTGTGCCTGGAAATATTTCCCAGCGCTGTTTAATAGTGCTGACGCAGCCTAAGCTTTCCATATCTGGGTCCCAACATGGTGTTACTCAAGCAGGCAGTTGGGACCTCTTTGTCCAGCAAAACCAGGTTCCAGGGTGCCCAGAAATTTCCAGGTAACTTGGGACCCTTGTTCCCAAGGCTCTCCATACTCTTTTTTTCCAGATGGGGTTGGGAAGACTGATCTCCATTTTACCTGTATCACTGGGCCACTCTAGAACAAGCACGCATCATGGGGTCTATACATTACGCACAGGAGCTGTTAGTGCTAGCATTGCCTTTGTCTCAAGTGAGTATTTCACTGTTCAACTGATTGAGATAACTGGCCAGAGGCCAGATATCCCAACTGATTTCAGAAATCAGCTTTGAGTTGGTCTAAATCAGTGTTAGGCTCCTAGGCAAGGAAGACTGGACACTTTATTTTGATGGACACATTCTCCCCATTCTTCTCTCTTTGTGAAGGAAGGTCATGTTACTGAGAATGGCGGGCAAACTTACAAATTTTTGTCTAAAACCTGAGATTTTCCTACAGAAAGCACCAGCCAGATCTGTCATAAATCAATAAACCATAGCCAGAGAGGTCCAGCTGCTGGCAGACTTCTGACAGGAGCTGCACCCACCGGGGCCGGCACTGGGGAGATCTCTCTGACCCTGTCCCACTGTGCTCCTCCTACTGTGTTTGCCCAGGTGCATTCTCTATTCCTTGCTTGGCTTCGGCAAACCTGGCTCTTGGTCACAGGAACATACATTTGAAGGATCTGCACTAAGGGCAGTGACTGACAGCTGCACAGGTGTCATAGACCCGAACAAAGTCTCTGAAATAGAGAAAGCACAGCAAGGCTGTGCACAGTTTCTAGTTCTGCAGTTTCTTTCTCTAAATGGACTCAGAGAAGGCCTTTTGTGATAGAAGTCCTGAGCCAAGAGACCCATGGGGAGTTCCTGCAAACACACTGTTCAAGTGGAGCACGGGGAGTAAGGGATCTACCCTTCCTGCAAACACACTGTTCAAGTGGAGCAAAGGACATAGTACATACTGACAACCCAAAACCATATAGATACCTGTTCTCCACAGACAACTTGGATCAAAAATGAAAAGGAAGAAGAGAAGACTTAGTAAAGGTCACACCTATGATCATGGAAGACGTCTTCCATGGTTCAGAATGAGGACCAGGAGCAATGGCACCTTGGAAATCACTCCAATTTGAAGAAAACAAAAAGGCAATAGTATCAATGTTCTGTATGAGAAGAGTACTGGGGAAGCACCGATGTTTGCAGAGCACTTTGACAGGAGACTGTGCAGAAAGGAGGAAGTCATCGGTTTCTTTAAAGAATCACATCTGTTAGAGAGCCTGTAGTGCAGAAGAATTCATCAAAGCAACTGAATCATTCTTCATTCTCCTCTAGATACTCATCACCAGGTTCATACAGGTCTAGGGCCTCCTCCGTTGTTGCCTTCTTTCCTTTCCAATCACAAACTTCATACTCCTAATCACCGACATTTTCAGCTTGCCTCTTACACACACATACACACGCTCTGTTAACTACTGTGTAGCATCTTCAAAGACAACGGGATTTGATATCCTTGTGTCTGACAGCAAAGTATACTTTCGCATTAAGGATATTTCACAGTCCATGCAGCGTTCATAAAAATCTGTGAGGCTATAATGTTTCTGCAACCTGACCAGCATCCATAACTTGATGGAATCCCTCAGAAGAATCTCTCCATAATGCCAAGGTAGACTGCTGCACCCACTTTCTGCTGCCTTGACAGCAGAATTTGTCCACTGCAGCAAAGCCAAGCAAGGAATTAAGAACACACCTGGACAAACACAGCAGAAGGAGCAGGAACTGACTGGGTCAGAAAGCTTGAAGGCAACAGTGTAAACTGTTCTATGCCTCTCTCAGTGCTTGGCTCCTACACCGAGATCATTCAATGAACTGCAAATCTTCTGAAATTTTTGCCCAGAAATCTAGTGCAAGCCTTTAGATTGTAGGCTTTAAATTTGTTAATTGGAATTGAGCTTTGGAGAATTAGGGAACTATGCCCAAGGGAGTTTGGAAACCTTCACAAGAAGGCTCTCAAGCCATGGGTGAGCCATGGATCTCTCTCCAAAGAATAGGTGTGAACCCTGAAACCTGCAGCTTTGCATACTTTTCAAAAAAAGGGCACAAATAACTAGTGCAGCTTATTTCTAGCTAACACTCCAAAAATCCACACAGCCCATTGAAAAAGCCTGTTATCTTCTGAACATTCTTGGCCCAATACCAAAGCTCTGGTTCTTGCTTCATCTTTCCTACTCACCCCACTGAACTGAGAAAATCTCACCAGCACTCCAGGCATAGTGCCTTCTCTGAATCACAACATCCTGACGTGTAAATTCAAATCTAGCCATCAAGTAGATAAGCACTCATGGAAGTTGAAAACTGTTTACAAGTTGGTAAACTGGCTCAACCAAAACCACAAAGACTTCCAGATCTGAATGCTGTGGCTTAGGAATTATCTCTAGTGTTAACAAAGAATCAAAACCCAAACCAGAACATAGCGGTCAAGTTTGGGGTCCTAGGTAAAAGCAAGTTCCACCAGAATAATTGTGGTGAAGCTTCAACTACATGTAATATATTTGTGGACCCATTTGTCAGGTGTTATGTGAGATTCTTAATTTTGGCAAAGCCACTTACTTTCTCAATTAAGTGGCAACTTTGATTACACCCAAGGAGCTCCTTCTTGGTGGAAGGACCAAACGAAACTCATTTTGTATGGAAATAGTTCTAGTAAACTGACCTGAGACACTGCAGTAGCTTGGAAGAGCTGATCTTTGTGGAATACCTTGAACACTGCCAGATGTGGACAGGAGGCTACACTCAAAATCAGGATATTTCCTAAAAATCTTGTGATTATGCCTTTTCCATTTAATGTAGGACTGAGCATACCACTGGCAATGAACCATGCAGCAAGTGATAGAGACAGGCCCACAATTACTGAACACAGTCTCAGAAGTTTAAAATTAAAAGGTGTGTGGAAGAAGCACCAATGTAAAACAGATATTCAGTGTTAGACACAATTCACAATGCTGCTCTATCTGCACCAGCTGTTTTGATGACACACATATACATATGCCAGGTACAGAGGTGTGCCAACTTTCTGGAGGCTGCCTGAAGAAAGGGACAGGGAAGATTTCTTCCTTTTGAGGAAAGGTATCAGATTATTCTTCTTCCTCTGTCAATCTCATCAGTCCCTTCTCTTGCTTCCCTCCCTTTC